TCTTCTCCTCCTCTCCCTCTTCCTCCTCCCCTCCTCTCCCTCTCCCACCTCCTCCCTGCAAACCCCTCTCCCTTCTAGCATTGATGATGTTCCCTGGCTGGATAATGAAACGTCTGCCAGAAAACCATCCAGCTCAGAGAGCACTAAGGACACTACAGTCCTTCCTCCCCTTCCTCCTACCTTCTCCTCCTCTCCCTCCTCTTCCTCCTCCCCTCCTCTTCCTCCTCCTCCCTGCAAACCCCTCTCCCTTCTAGCATTGATGATGTTCCCTGGCTGGATAATGAAACGTCTGCCAGAAAACCATCCAGCTCAGAGAGCACTAAGGACACTACAGTCCTTCCTCCCCTTCCTCCTACCTTCTCCTCCTCTCCCTCCTCTTCCTCCTCCCCTCCTCTCCCTCTCCCACCTCCTCCCTGCAAACCCCTCTCCCTTCTAGCATTGATGATGTTCCCTGGCTGGGTTCATGAAACGTCTGCAAGAAAACCACCCAGCTCAGAGAGCACCAAGGACCCTACAGTCCTTCTCTTCCTCCTCCCCTCCTCTTCCTCCTCCTCCCCACAAACGCCCTCTCCCTTCTCGTACTGATAACGTTCCCTAGTTGGGTCATGAAACGTCTGCAAGAAAACCACCCAGCTCAGAGAGCACCAAGGACCCCACAGTCCTTCCTCCCCTTCCTCCTACCTTCTCCTCCTCTCCCTCCTCTTCCTCCTCCCCTCCTCTCCCTCTCCCACCTCCTCCCTGCAAACCCCTCTCCCTTCTAGCATTGATGATGTTCCCTGGCTGGGTTCATGAAACGTCTGCAAGAAAACCACCCAGCTCAGAGAGCACCAAGGACCCTACAGTCCTTCTCTTCCTCCTCCCCTCCTCTTCCTCCTCCTCCCCACAAACGCCCTCTCCCTTCTCGTACTGATAACGTTCCCTAGTTGGGTCATGAAACGTCTGCAAGAAAACCACCCAGCTCAGAGAGCACCAAGGACCCCACAGTCCTTCCTCCCCTTCCTCCTACCTTCTCCTACTCTCCCTCTTCCTCCTCCTCCCCTCCTCTTCCTCCTCCTCCTCTCCACAAACCCCTCTCCCTTCTAGCACTGATGTTGTTCCCTAGTTGGGTCGTGAAAGGCCTGCAAGAAAACAGCCCAGCTCAGAGAGCCCCAAGGACCCCCACAGACCCCCCCTGAGCTACAAATATTTCCCTTTACTTAACCATCTCCTCTGTCCTCTCTCCCCCCCCCCCACAGGTCAGCCCTGCAGAGCCTACACAAAGCCTGCGAAGTGGCCCGCGTCCACAACTACTACCCGGGCAGCCTATTCCTCACCTGGGTCAGCTACTACGAGAGCCACATCAACTCCGACCAGTCCTCGGTCAACGAGTGGAACGCCATGCAGGATGTCCAGTCCCACCGCCCAGATTCCCCGGCACTCTTCACGGACGTGTAAGTAGACCGGGGGGGTGGGGCTGCTAGGAAGGGGGGAAAAGGTTTTGACTTGACTTCCGACCCCAAAATGGAGCCCAGCGTCCCCCGTTGCTAAACAGTTGTTAAAAGAGAGTTCTGCCCCGTTTTACGACCTTTCTTGCCACAGTCGTTAAGTGAATCACTGCAACGGTTAAGCGAATCACGCGGTCGTTAAGTGAATCTGGCTCCCCCCCCAAATGGACTTTGTGGGTCAGAAGGTCACCAAAGTGGATCACGTGACCTTGGTCGTAAGTGCGAACCAGCTGTGCCAATAAATATGAACCGGTTCCCAAGCCTCTGGATTTTGATCATGTGACCGTGGGGATGCTGCAGTGAAAAATGAAAGACCCCCACCCCACCCCTGGCCCGAAGCATCTGCACACACACACACACACCCTTTTGGCCGAACTCTCCTGCCTCTTCCTGGCTCTCTGGACATTTATGGCACCGGCTGGGCTCCCTTTGGAGTCGCCCGGCAGCTTTCATCCCCTTGGGGCTATTTTTAAAGCCGGCGATAGAGCCAGAGAGGCAGCCGGAATGCACGGAGGTCATTTCTCGGTGCCATATAAGGAAACCTGGACGGCTCACACCTCTCCAGGAACGGTAAAGGATGCAGGAAAGAGGCCGGAGCTAACAAGTTGCCAGATGCCCTTATCGGTGCAGGGCCAGGAGGCCACGAAACGGACCCTATGGTTATTCCAGGGATGCCGCCCATCGCCTTCCTAAAATTTCCACCCTCGAATGTAAGAGTAGGAAAGAGGGGAGGAATGGGAAGAAGAGGGCAAGGGTAAAGGGGAGGAAGGGGAAGGAGAGAAGGG